CTCCTATCTTACCTATCCTTATCTCACATCAGGGGAGGTGAGGAGACAGGAAAAGAAGAGAGAGAGCCTGCTCAGAAGTATCTCAAAATCTTCCCTCCTGTCCTCTGCTAAATAATAGAGCATTTGAATAATTATGAAAACAATCTCAATAAAAAAGATCAGCTCAGCTGGGCCTGATGGTGTACGCCTGCAATCCCAGCACTCGGGAGGCTGAGGCAAGAGGATTGTTGTGAGTTCAAGACCAGCTTGGACTACAAAGTGAGCTCAAGGCCAGCCTGAACTGCACAGAGAGACCCTGTCTCAAAAAGACCAAAAAAAAAAAAAAAAGTTTGAGCCCACCACAGGCAACTCAGTGAGTTGGCAAGACCTAGACCCAAAATAAATAAAGTGCTGGGGATATAGCTCAGTACAAGGAAAAAAAGCTGTTTTTGAATTTTTATTCTGCTAATCTGTTTTTTTGTGTTAAAATATTAAATTGTGCTAGGATAACAGAAAAGAATAGTTAAGGTACAAATACACATTTATAATCAAATAGGGGGGCTGGGGATTTAGCTCAGTGGCACAGCACCTGCCTGGCAAGTTCAAGGTCGTGAGTTCGATTCCGGTTCTGGAAAAAAAAACCAAATAGGTAAAGGTCATAAAAACATGAAACCAGGGAAGGCTGCCTCTTGACTTAGAGCTGTCTCTAGGTACCTTAGAAAAGCATTGCTGGTGTTAGCCAGGGTACCATGGAGGAAGCTGGGGTGATCATGACAATGGGTTCTACTATTATGAAGCAATCACGGTAGTATCCCACCATGGCAGCGCCTGGCTCATTCTAAACCCTTCAGCCTCTAAGACGACGGGATGAAAGGAGCCCCTCCCCCTGATGGGCTCACTGGTCTTTAGACCTAGCTGTCCTCTCTAGCATGGAGCAATGTACTAGCGCAAAATCCCAAAGGAGCCCTCTTAAGCTCCCAGTGTAGAGCAAGGCTAAATTGCATTCTCATGCCATGGTACCCGCTTTCTTTGCATTCTTAGTCCTTTTTGTTTGTTTTTTTTTGTTTTGTTTTGTTTTGTTTTTTTGTTTTTTGTTTGTTTGTTTTTGGTTTTTCTCCGGTACTGGAAACCGAACTCACAACCTTGGGCTTGCCAGGCAGGCGCTTTGCCGCTGAGCTAAATCCCCAGCCCTCCTCCTTTTTTTTTAACCTTAAATCATTTAGGGTTAGAGAAGCTTTTCATGTAGTCAGCGGATAATCTGAATCACTCATGGAAGCCGTGAACAGACTCAGAATCAGACCAGCTCATTCAGGCATTACATGTTTCCTGGGTGCGGAGCCAAGTTTGTGACCCTGGAATTGGAACTCAGGGCCTCTACAAGGCTGTCCTTGCTCTTCTGGATGCTGCTACTATGACTTGAATCCATTCCCCTGCAGTTTGTGTGCTGGAACATTAATCCCCAGCGCAGTGAACTGAGGGTTAGTTGCTGGAGTGGCTTGTTATTATAAAATGAGTTCAGCCTCCGTGGCTGTCTCTCCTGCATGCAGCCACTTGCCCATCAGCTTTTCTGCCAGGTAACCATGTAGCACAAGGTCCTGGCCAGGTGGCCACCTGATCGTAGATTTCTAGCCTCTGGGCCCGTGATCTTAATAAAACTTCTTTTCTTTATAAATTACTCTGTGTCAGTTGTTTGGTGATAACAACAGAACAGAAGAGATGTTATTTCCACAGAGACCTGCCTGGCTCCCTTCCTCATTTCAGTCACATCTCTGCTTTATCATTACTGTGTCAGAGGAGCTTCTAGGACCACCTTAACTGACTTCACATCCTTGAGTCCCTAGCTCGAGCTTTCTTCCGCTTCATTTGAAGAATCTCACGTTGTATTTAAGGTTGCACACAGCCTTGGGGCCTGGAGGTAGAGCACCTGTATGAGACCTATTTGATCACTGGTACCATAAAACAAACAAAAAAAAAACCAAAAAAACAAATCCAGAAAACTATATATATTTTTAGCAATATTTATACAAAAAAACCCATTATTTATCTGTAATTCAAATTCAAATGGTTCTCTTGCTTTTTACTTGATAAATCTGGCAACCTGATTATACTGCTTATTAAATTCCTTTCTTTCCCACGTGAATGCAAACCTCATGAGGACATAGATGTAGCCTGTTGAATTCATTGTTCTAAAACACCAGTATTTACTGTCTGGGCCTTGCCAAAGAGTACACACTCTTGCACTCTTTTCTTGTTTGGTTTGGTGGTGGTGTTGTTGTTTGAGGCAGGGTCTTGCTATGTAACTCAGGCTGGCCTTGAACTCACTATGCAGCCCAGGCTGGTCTCGAATTTATGGTGATCCTCCTGCCTCAGCCCCCCAAGGGCTGGAATTACAGGCATGCGCCACTATGCCTGGCTTTACAGTAGGCACTGTTACGTGTTGGGGAATGAAGAAAAAAGCACAAAGCAATACAACACCAGCTAAGGATTTGCGTGCTAACTGGGCAATTCATGCCGCATTCCTATCTGGCGTCCACTGTCACCTCGGGAATTTTTCAATTGCAACAGAGATTCCAAGGATGCAAATATTTGCTTTCTGGTCCAGATACTGGATTAAGACCACTAGTGCATACCAAACTGTCAAACCCCTGGCAAATAACAGCTTGCAAATCCTACTAACACTAGTCAGAATTAAGCCATAAATTTGGCAGTGAGAAAATCTTTTTAAAACATCCACCCCATCCATTCCTTGTCTCAAGTGTCCCCCACCTATAATCACTGAGTTTCCTTCCTCAGGCTGTGTACCATTCCTACCCTATTGCACTTTGGCCTGATAAACCAGAAAAACAAAACTCCATCCGTCAAATACTGTCCTCAAGAGCTAATCTTCAAAATACTTGGATGCATCAAAGGTGATAGTTTGGACAGCCTCATCTGATGTTCTGACATCTAAGTATTGTTAGTTCTGATTCGGTTACTTAGAGAAGACGTTGCAATTCTCTCCCAATCACGCCTGTGTGTTTACTTAGCTAAGTAACTCTTGTGACCCATGGCATTCCTCTTATAGGCATTTTCCAGAGCCAGGAAGCCAGAAAAGAGGTCAAAGCTCCAAAGACACATCTTTTTATTCAGCAGCACAGGGAAAAAAAAAGGCTTCCAGCCATGGCTTGAACTTTTTTGTTGTTGTTGTTTTGTTTTGTTTTCATCGGGCACCGGGAATCAAACTCACGACCTTGCGCTTGCCAGGCAGGCACTGTGCCGCTGAGCTAAATCCTTAGCCCCAGCTTGAACTTTTTTACCAAGAAGGAAGCCAAAATTTTTTTTTCATCTTCCTGTTCCATATCCCTGGAGGATTTAAAAACAAACAAATAAGCATGACAACAAAAAAATAGACATCAACCTTGTATCCATGTTTTTTTCTTCTTAAAAATTCCTTTAAGCTTTGCTGTGTCTTAACCTTACAGAATAATTATAAACAATGTACATCATAGTACATGGTAAAGCCCACATAGTGACAGTACAGTGATGGGATATAGGAAGAGAGAGCCATGGGTATAGCTCAGCAGCACAAGAGCCTGCCTGGCAAGCCTCAGTTTGTGAGTTCAATTCCCAACCCCCCACCAGAAAAGGAAGAGAGGTTAACAGGGAAAAAGAATTACTGGAGAACTGTGAGGTGACTTTTAAGAATCTAGGAATGGGGCTGGGGATTTAGCTCAG